GACACCTCTGATTTAAGTAGTGTGGTAAAAGACACTGGGGAACTAGGAAGCGTCCATGCGTTGCAGATAAGATAATAGGAGCCTCCGTGAAAGCAGAGGTTCATTTAGGACAGATTTGTCACTGCAGCTGCAAAGCTGCTTCTCAACTTAAATTGCCAAAAGCAGCTTAATCATTGGGTCAAAGGGGAAAGGGCCACGAGCTAAGCAACGCAGGCTTCTGCAGAGGCTGGTATGGGTTTCAACATGTTATTATTTTCTTAAAGCATCCCCATCACAACACAGTGAATACCACAATGTAACCTCCTTTGAACGTATATTGTTTAATGTGCCTTGACTGTTTGAACTGCCACTGGCACTGGTGCATTTCTGTATACAGAAAAAATGATGTGCAAATGCATCTGGATATGCAAAGTAATAATTTCAGGCTCATTTATGAGAAATTCTTCAAAGGCTATTCAGCTGAAAAGCATATAATAGGCCATTATCCATGAGTCAGAAATGAACAAATAAGAAAGGTTCATGCTAAAGTTCAAATCTGACCGGGCTCTGAATGAAATAATTATTTGACATGCTATATACAAATATGTTAAATGAAATGAGGGATGATGATAATGTTGCTTGAGAACAGGGTTCATCTGAATTTCAAGTATGTTAAAGGTCCAAGCATAAGTCTGTTTTGCCTTGGAGACTTGAGCAAACTAATTTATGTAGAAAAGCAAACAAGGCATGTATTTCTCTGTTTATTTCTATTCTATATGTATGTCCCCATCTTTAAATTATGCACCATTTCATGCTCTGTAGCATAAATCTAAACTGCCTTCTCTGTGAAATCATGATCTGAGTGGGTGTGCTACAGTAAACAGTGCCTTTACAGTAGACCGTCGCAGGGGCACAGAACGTCACACCAATACATGCTTTATTGCTGGAGTCTTTATTGTAACTGATACTCAAGTGCACTGAAACAGAAAGATATTCATAGGCATATATCTGTTCTATCTGAAATCTAAAGGTTTCCAGCCAGTTCCATCTCTACAATCGCTGTTTTTTACTTTAGTCTGTTTTTTTGCTCTTCATCCTTTTTCCTGGCTCCAGTTCTCATCCACCCTCCCCAAAGTTTGCTCAATTCCCTCTAGGTTCAACGGCAGGGCACTAGGTCATGGTACTCGCTGGATTTTCACACTGTTCTCTCTACTGAACACCACATCAAGTTAATCAGGGTTAACAATTGTGGCGGTGCCTTGCTGAGCAGGGCTCCCATCGGCTTAGCGTGGCCTGGCTCTGGAGATACAGATGGGCTAGTAATCTCTCTCCTCTCAAGGCAGAGCGGACACATGAGGGCGGAGGCAGCTGGACGGCTGAGTGCGGATGTGGGCTAGCCGCGGTCGGAACAAAATTAAGACAGTAACACGTGTTAGATAAAATTGGAGATAAAAATTTTGTGACTTTAAGATATGAAAATATCTCCTAAAAGCAGGTATGTAAAATCTGAGTAATGGGGTTACTGAACAGATAACAATCTCTATAATAATGTAAGCTCGCTTTCTAAATTTGAAATAAAACAAAATATTTCAGAACATAATAATAGGCAAAGACATTTTGTTCTCTCTCTGTTAGGCAGCTCCTTTTGTCCCCAAGGTATTTCATCTCTGTGCACTGGTGCTTTGCCAGCAAAAACAAGTTTAAAGGTCCATTTACCAATGTCTCCCTTCAACAAATAAGCTAATTTATATTCCTCCAGAATAGAGCTGTCAACAAAATTAATTTAAAACTAAAATTTGCATGTGAGAACTTGAAATTCAATGACATGCATCCTGGAAATAAAAGTGAGGAGCACAGCGCTTCAATGGCAAGGCAACATTAACATTCTTTTCATAGATTGTGAAAACTCACCCCTCTCAAACGGTGCAAAATGTAACACAAGTATTCTTAATCCCACGTGTGCTACTTTATTCTCATCAGCCACATAGATCAAGACTAGTGGGATGTCAGAGGTCAAAAAAGACCAAATCCAAAGTAAGTGTATGATGCTTTAAGATCAAAGAGAGGGGGGAGAATAAAAATCTCAGAACTGAGGATGACTGAAGCGTGACCTATTTGGCAAAACAGAACTCTCTGTGCAATAGCAGCTGGCTCCCTTGCACAACACATCCCTGGGTGCCCCCGCTATAGGCTACGCAGACTTAATTATTCATTCACTTAGAAGGAGCATTACACAACCCTGCATCCCTGATAAAACCAGTGGGGAAGAAAAAGTCTGCCTGTCAGACGGCCCCGGGTGACGGATCTGGAGTTAAATCTTCTCCAGGAGTTCAATTTCAGACAGCAACTAAACACAACTCTACTCCTCGCATAACCTTTTGAACTAAAGAAGCGACTCTAAAGCCCAGCTCCGGCATGAGATTTTATGCGCATTTTACCCTTTGTTATGGAAGACTCTTGTCACAGCCCATCCTTTTTACCCACAACTCGAGCCCTTTCAAGCCGCTCACTTTTTTCCACAAACTGTCTTGCGTTTGCAACATCGCACCTCTTCGGAAGGACACATGTATTATTAAAACGGGATTCAAGTGCTATCCCTGCAGGGACACTCAGAGACTTTCACAGGTTTCTGTCAGTGCCATCATTTTGATTTAACTGTGGCTCCAACTTTTTTTTTCACAAACATTAGGAATCTGTGACACCAGTGCACAAAGTCAATATTTCATGCACTTGGCAACTCAAAGGCTAAGTTTAAGCTTTAAAGCACTTCTCTTCATTTATTACCCATGTCACCTCGCTTCATGAAAGTCTTAAAATCTCGTCGAAGGTATTATTCTTGAAAGTCGTGTAAAGTGCAAGTGAAACGACAAGAAAAAGAAGATGTGGCGGGAAAGTGGATGGTGATACGGCGGTAATGCTTTGTCCGCTCTCACACATGTAAAATATGTATGCCAGGGTCTCGCAAGGCCCCCAGAGTCACAGAGCATCATCCCTACACCATCTTCACTCAGTTTGTGGATGTCGATTAGTGATCAAGCCTGGGGAATTGTACTAAGAACAACAAAAAAAAAAAAGAACAACACAGACAAAGTCCTACTAAACTTTACATGCCCTCGTTGCCCCAGTCAAGAAAATACAGTTCACCAAAAGTTCATGTGTCCATTATCATCTGTGAATTTGGTTATATGTCTGCGACTGGTAGTGAAAGAGGAGGAGCGGGCAAGCCAAATTTACCCCGACAATTGTTGATACGACACACGACGTGCTCTACACTTCTGACCCTGATATGCAGGGTCGTTGCTCGGTCAGTGTGCCGCTGCAGGCTAACTGTGTTTGGGGATTGTGTGTGTGGTGAGTGGAGTTGGAAAAAAAAAAAAAGGATAACCCTAAAATATCTCTGTTACTGGCGCTGTGTCGTAACATTTCCGAGCCAGCCCCGCCCAACATCAAAATGGGTTCAACTAGAGTTCACAACATATGGCCACACCTCCTCGCCATCGCGTCATCAAGCAGAAGGCATGTCGTCATGAGCAAGGCCTCACCTACACGCTTGTTTCTTGGTTCTTCTTGTGCCAAGGTCACAGCGGCCCCCAGTGGGGTGACATTCGCATCATATCAACAGTAGCTTGTAAAATGTCCTGATTTAGAGCAAGTTTTGTCTTGAATGGACCAACAAAGAAGGCCTGCTATTAGTTTACAACAAAATGAATTTGTTTGCAGTAATTTTAAATGATTATTAAAAAGTAAATTAATAAATAAATACAAATATTTCATAAACTGCAAAATTCTACGGAAATATAACAAAAGAGTTGTGAAATATGTATTACAGTTTTCTCACTAAAACACACACACTCAAATTATAATACCAAAAATATGGACAGGAAGATGAATAATATCACCATTTTATTATCAGTTAATGTACATTTCTAAATATGTGCCTTCATTATAGGCACAGATTTAGGAATGACAAGGAAATAGGGTAAATGTCATATATATTTTACATTATTTTTTAAAACTATCTTACAAACTATATGAAAAAAATTTTATTTAACAATTACAAATTAAATGTACTGGTAAAATAATTTTATAGTATATTAAATGCACAAGAAAATAAATGGTATGGTGAAAGTAGAATCTTAATGTACTATTTATTTTGTATTACATGACCTTCTAATCTCATGTCTTTTAATTTATTTTTGTTTCATTACAACTTATTTTTGGCATATGTGTATTTAATATTAGTTTTGATTTGTATATGTTTTTGTCTTTGTAATGGTGTGCCTTCTTGACCAGGACAACTATAAAAAAAACATTTTAATTTCAAGGGTAAATAAATAAAATTGATACAAATGTTTAAATTTAAAAAAAGATTAATTTCATATGAACCTCAAATATTATTTTATTAGTAGACTTATTTGTTCTGAAACCTGACAAGCTGAAATAAAAATGCAGATAAAATTATATTTTACGCAGTATTATTTAATAGGAAAGTCAATTTATAAAGCAGTCAAACAAGCAATATTCAATAGGTTTTTTACAGAATAATGTAATTTTAACAACCTCACAGATTTTTTTTTTTTTTTTTTTTTAACAGTGCTTCCAATTAGAAATCAACTCAAGCATTTTCCACTAAACCATTAATTTGGGATACCAACACTGTTGGCTTCATTGCCTCCAAATGATGATGATGTAACCTACTAAAATTCAGTGAAACTGTTTAATTAAAATATAGAGATTAAACTACAAGATACTATTTTTAAAAAAAAAAATCTTTCTTTGACTTTTAAACGATAGAAAACAAATGACCTTGACAAAATACTGTTATTGCAATTAATATACATTTTAAATAATAGAAAACTAAATAAATATGTATATAAACATTATTTTCTTGTCATATATTATATTGCAAACATAAGTAATGTCTTATAAAACCAATTCTTTTGATCTACTCTCAAAATGACTGTGTGACTAAACCCAAACTCATCACTTATTAGGAGAATTATAAACACAAGCTCACATAGTGAAGTTCATCTTTTTTATTTAAAGACAATGGTACAAAGAAGGTCATGTACATTTTGCGAGGCAACAAAACAAAATAAATAAATAATGAAAAATAAATATGAAATAAAGAATACTCGGTTCATAACATCGCTTTGGTGAGTTTAGTGTAAAATGTGAAGAAATTATTACGAGACAAACAACATAAATGCTTGCAAAAAGTGTAGTGCCTGTTTTAGCACTGCCTTGTACCTAAAGCAACTCTAACAGTGCTGATGTTTATTAAAACACACACACACACACACACACAAAAAACCCCAGCTTCTAACAGTGGACTCAACTCCTTGTGATCACATACCAGTCATGCAGCAATAAGAATGAAATATTTCAAAGACTAAGAGCGCCCACCAGTGTTGAAAATATATATGAAATCAGCATCATGATATTAGCAATGTGTACTTCGTAGTTCTTTCCAATGAAAAAAAGATTCTTTGTATTAGTTGTTGTAATTATTTCTGATTATTTAGTGTTTAACTATTGTCTCACTTACTGTGACATTAAAAAAAAACATATCGGCAATGTGTTTAAGCGCTTGTTAAATTAATAAATACAATATGAGAAGAATGTAAAACAGTGTCATCAAAAGCTGAATATTTCATTTGATCAACTGTAATTAAATTACTGTAAATTTAAAAAAAATAAAATAAAATAAAAATAAAGTTCTAAATCCTTCTGCTATTTCAGACAAAAGGGCCTGCCTTTAAAATCTCTGTACTGTACTGGTATTAATAACATATTAATATTCTTTATCACAACAGAAGGTCAATAGGTCATGGTATCATTATGTTTCAGTAGGAAACATTTAGACAGTGATATTTTTTCAGTTGTAATTTTTTACAACAGATTTGAGATGAAATTGAAATCTTTAAAGCTTTTATGTCTTTGAGTAATTACAGCGATTTTCATTTACAGTCCCCTGTTTTCAGAGGCACCACGTAATTGTAAAAATTGTTGTAATCATAATTAAAATAAAAATCATCATTTTAGATTTTGGCCTTTCTATTCTTGAAGCCGATAAAGCCTACCCTTGTGAAGTCTTCCAGTTACAGACTAGCCAGTCAATGACAGTGACACACGTGCGCGGATCTACCGCCGATGTCTTCTGTGGCTCACCAGTATCTTTATTTTCATATATCCATCATACTGTTGATTTCGCAAATCCTAATGTTGCTGTTATCTCTACAATAGAGTTGTTTTTGCAGCCTATCCAACATTTATCTCTGTTGATTCCAAGTTCACATGCATAGTTCAAAATCCAAATACTGCATTTGAAATCAACTTAGGAGCTTTTAACTGTTTAACCAATGCAAAAAATAATGAAAGAATAGTTTACACCTGTCCATGAAAAAGGTCAATTGAGCAAATTACCTTTAGTCCCCCGGAAAAAACAAAAAAGGGGGCAAAAGCTTAAGAAGCTGTAATTCCTAAACCCTAAAAACACCCTCAAAAAAATTCAGGGAGTCAGCAAATTAATCCCACAATGGTCACAAAACTTTAAACACCTTGAATAATGCAAATCATGTCAGTGCTTAATATATATTCATATATGGTCCTCTGATGCAAATGTAAAACATTTGGAATATTCATCAAATTAACAGTTAGCATGATGTGTGATCACAGCACAGGTAGGATCCAACATGTACCAACATCCTACCTGTGCTTCAGCACAGGTAGGATGTTGGTACAAACCTTTTTATCCAACTCTTGCATGAACAGCAGAACTCTGTATATTTCCATAGGAAATATAGTGAACTAAACAGCATCAGATCAGCCTCTGCACAGACAAATCCAACCCCTACAGAATGAGCTTTGTGCTTCTGGTGCGTGACACTACTCTACAATGATGGTCTGCAGAAAGTGAGACTGATGAGGGACAGAAAGTACAGATCGCGAAGCTCACACTGTTCTTAAAAAGAGAGAGAGAGAGACAGAAGAAGACAGTATGTAAGACTTTTATTTACTTTCTAACATCTGATTACTATACTACCAAAGTGAATTGAAATTAATCGCACAGACATACATTATGGTTGTAAATAAAACTGTACCTCCTTCAACCACTTTTCCTCTAACAGCCACTTGCTAATTAAAGTTTTCCGAATTGTCCATTTGCTCCTGTGCAGCAGGTTCCACCAGTCGGCTGTATGAGTAGACCAGCATCATCTGCAATGGACAAAAAAACGTTTGTTAAAGAAACGTTTATTCTCATGTTGAAGTGGAAGGTGACTGAGAGAAAGAAAGATTGTCTGTTAGTTGGTGTTGTGGCGTGGGTGTGGTCTCTGGCCGGGTGCAGAGGAGGGGTGACACAGTGAACTCCCGGGGCAGCGCAGGGGTGGGGTGAACAGGTGTGTTGGGATGTGAGTGTGATTATGTCTCTTTATATGTTGTCAGTGACAGGCAGAGGGGGAGTGTCTGTGTCCCAGTGAAAACAAAAACCACAGTGTAATCACATTCAAAAATAAAGTAGTGCTGTCATTACGTCCGTGTCCTGTCTATGCTTAACGGGTCCAACGCTACACGTGTCATTATCATTTAGCAGTTGCTAAGCTGAGTTCAATATTCAGTTCAATTCAATTTTATTTATACAGCGCCAAATCACAACAGTCGCCTCAAGGCGCTTTATATTGTAAGTTAAAGACCCTACAATAATACATACAGAGAAAAACCCAACAATCATATGACCCCCTATGAGCAAGCACTTTGGCGACAGTGGGAAGGAAAAACTCCCTTTTAACAGGAAGAAACCTCCAGCAGAACCAGGCTCAGGGAGGTGCTGAGACCGGTTGGGATAAGAGAAGGAAGACAGGATAGAAGACATGCTGTGGAGGAGAGCCAGAGATTAATCACAAGTATGATTTAATGCACAGAGGTTGATTAACACATAGTGAGTGAGAAAGGTGACAGAAGAAGAAATACTCAACGCATCATGGGAATCCCCCAGCAGCATATTGCAGCATAACTAAGGGAGGGTTCAGGGTCACCTGATCCAGCCCTAAATATATTCTTTATCAAAAAGGAAAGTTTGAAGCCTAATCTTAAAAGTAGAGATTGTGTCCAATTCAGGACACAGACATGTCTGGAGTTTTACAGACGTGATTTGAAGCGGGAATGTTTCATTCAGGTTCATTTGGTAGTATCTGTAAAAGTTTAAATATTTTTAAGAACTGAACATTTGATGCTGTGATAACTGAGAAACTACATCGGATGTGTCAGGGAGGTAGAGCTCCACGTTTTTTGTTGTTGTTTTTTTTACAGAGAAAATAATGAAAGAAAGGTCTGTGAAGAACTGATGGAGTAAATTTGGTTGTTTTTGCCTTGTTTTGTCTTGTTTGCTTCTAAACATTTGGGTTTCATAACAAGTGAGCCTGTACTTCATTAAAAGGATATTGTTGTGCTTGCTTGTTACCTAATCCAGTTGCTGCTGGCTAGACATGTCAACATGCATCTCCTTTTCTTAACTTAAAACCTATTTTTAGGTTTTTATTTGTTCTAAACAGATACTCACTGATGAGAAACATCACTTTTTGACATAAAACAGAAATGCACATTTGCACACTTTGTGAGTCCCAATTTTAGAAACTGGTTTATTTTATACACATTAGTGCAAGAACAAAGGTTTGCGTAAAAAGAGAATGTGGTGATTAATCATTATGTGCTCAAGTAGGTAGCATTATTCATTCCTAACAAATGAAAAGTAGAGAGAAGTATTTAGGCAAAATAAAGCAATACAAAAGCACAAATGTGTATTATGTATTTTTTTTATTTGTAATATTTTATGTAGGAAAAGAAGAGAAGTACATAACCTAAATCTACCCAAATGTACTATTTACACTGTATAAAGAAAATTTCAAAAGCAAAAATACTGCAAATGAGTTTTCATGTTTTCATCATTTTATTTTTTCAGGTTATGCCCTCGATATAAATATGATTCCTCTCAGCCAACAAAGGTCCGTTTACACTTAACCTCTGACAGGATGCCTTATGGTTTTGTCATTGTAATTGTTGCTTACCGTTAGCAGGACCAGCAGTACAGTCATCATCCCCATCATGACATACATGTTCTCGGTAAGGCCTCCAGCCCATAGTGGGCCCAGAATGGTGGCCAGACCCCCCACTGAACGACGTATTCCCTGACTGAAACCTGTAAAATGCCCCACACAGCACAAAACACATCAAAGGGCTTACTTCTATGGTTATTATAAGGCCTTAAAATGTGCATTCAGTTTCACTGATATACTAATTTTTTCCCTCGAAACGACCCCAGAACCCTGTCATGCCTTTGCTTGTCCAGTAGATGGTGCAGTTTCTCACCTTGTGTTTTCTCAGCTGTAATTTTGGAAAACAGAGAAACCTGCGCAACAGACACAAACGGCAAACCCAAAATCTGCAGAAATACCCCAATGATGAACTCTGTCAGCTGCCATGCAAAGCCACCTAGAGAAAACACAAAACGCCAAAGGAAGGAAAAAGGTGAATAATATATATGACACATTTCGAAGATGGATTTCAGGAAAGCTTTTTTAAGGATTAAATATTACATATGTGTAAAAAGAAAGCATTATTTTGACTGTGTCTCAGTGAGAGATCAAGGACCTAGTTCTATATGTGAAAATGCTCCGTCCAGATGAACAGCATTCATGAGAGTTAGATGCTAAAGCAAAAAAAACAATCAAAAAAATTATAATTTCAAGTTGAGTCTAACCTAGCGGCTTAGCCAAGAAGATGAGGCACCAGATACAGGAGATGTTGCACATGCACAGACCAATGGCGAGGATCACCCGTTCCGTCACATGGCGGCTCAGCCAGCGCACAAACAGGAAGCCGGCAATCACCACTACACCACCAAGAAAGTACATCACGCTGTTCTCCAGCTCCCCAAAGCTGAAATATTTCTGCGTCAGAGGGGTCACCATGGTCTGAGGACACAGCCCGTTAAATCCTTTAGTCTCATTATGTTTGTTGGCAAGATAAAACTTAGTGTGTATGCTCTCACAGGGTTTGAAATGATTTTTAAAAAAAAAAAAAAATCAAGAAATGATATACTGAAAACAGATCATTTAATTTGTATGAGAGTTTCAATCTGCACCTCCAGGGCTGTCTGATTGAAAAAGGTGACAAACTGGGCAGCCAGCAGCACAATCACCTCTTCTCTCAGGAACTCTGATACAAAGAAACCGAAACATGTAGACAAAACATGAAAACACTGGAAAGAGACATTGGTCAACAGCAAAGTCAGAAAGAAAGGGGACAAAAATCTATTTCATAACCAGGAAGTTCAGAAACAACAACAACAAACAAACTGTGCTACTTCACTTGTAAGAGATATATTTTGCACATTCCAAGGCTCATAAAACTAAGACGCTTTGTAGCAAGAAGGCAATCCAATCTGTTTAAGAAGAGGATAGAAGAAGAGATGAACAAACAGGCAAGGCACCCAGCAATAATCATGTGAATCACTGACCTCGAGATATGCTGAAATTCTTAAAGACACCTGAAGCCTCTGCTGGTGAAACAGGAGAATGAGGTGAAGGATTCGGATTCAGCGTAGTGTTCCTGGGTGGACTGGAAGCCACGACAGAGCCGTAGGACCCCATCAGCTCCTGAGACACTATTAGGGGCTTTCCCTCTTCATCGCTCTCTTCTACGTCTTCCACAAGGCTTTTCTCATTCTCTTCCTCTTGGTTCTTTCGCGTCATACCATCCCTGGCTTTCCTCTTCTCAACGGGTGGTAGGTCCACAGTCAGGAAAACAACCACGAATTGAAGGAGAATCCACAGCAGACACATAAACAGCTGCAAGGGATGGATGAACAAGATCACTGCTCTCCACAGATGGCCGCAAAGAAATGCATGAAAAATGTAAAACACCTTATTATAATGCATACTGACATGTTATAAATCTTACCCCGGGTGCAGTGTATTTATTGATTACAAAAGGACCCAGGTGGAAATCACACAACCTCAGAAAGATGTTAAATGCTGGACCTGTGTTAAACAAAGGATACTACATGAACATTATCCACCTAAAACCATTAAGATTTATAATAACTAAACAATCTTTAATGTTTGTCGCAAGAAAGCAAACAAGCACTGACCAATCACAAGTCCAGCCTGCCGACACGCCATGAAAGCAGCAAATACAGTGGCACGGTCCTCTGGGGCCGTGCTTCTGGTTAAGAAGCCAAAGATGGACGAGCTAACGCCTGCACCGATGCCTGGGAAACAAACAAACCAACTAAAAACCAAAAACATCAACTTTGGCTTCTCTTTTCCAGGTAAAACTGCTTTTTGTAAAGTGGGAAAAAAGATAAGATATCATGTTTCATTAACAGTCAAGTGACAGGAGTGATTTAGAAACAACAAAGAAAAACACGTGTTTTTTATTTAAGATGGCATTCAGTTATCCTGAATGGTCACAGATGGCATATTGTGTTAACAGTTGCAAGTTTTAAATGTTAAAAGCATAATTAATTGGAAAAAAAATGTTTTGTTTTTTTCACTTATGTTGGGACAGGTGAAATGTATTTGGCTTATTGAGTAATCAGAACTTTGGGTGTTTCAGCCTCAAACTGGCCAAGAAAATAATTTTTTGAAGGCTTTGAGGAACTGCAAGAAATGAAGATAAAACAGCAAAAAACAATAAACCAGACAACAAGTTTCTACTCTGCCAAACAGACACCTTACATGTCTTCATCTTATCTTAACAGCTCTATTAAGTGACTCCCACGAATGTCTTGGTGATGTTAAGTGAGGGATTTGTACGGGATAAAGGAATGCTATCACTTTTTGCAGTACAAGCCGTACCATTGAATGTTCATTTATTGGAGCCACATGGAGCCAATTTCCTCCAACAATGGAACAATGACCCAAAACACAGCTCCAAATAAGAACTGTGAACATGAACTATTTAGACAAGAAGGAAACAGTTGGCATTCTTGAAATTTCTCCAGATCACCCCAACAAAGTGACAGCAGTTATGCAACTATTATGTCCAACCTCGACAAAGTCTTAACAATGTCTCATGTCCAGTTCACACTCAGTTGCTGCAAACTCAGCAGTATATTTCACCAAACATACCTTAAGACTCAATTTAAAGTAGCTTGTAAACCGATCGCAGGTTGAACTTTGAAACACTATTAGTGACCTACAAGTTAAGGATTTATGAGTGTCAATGGAAACTATCACAAAGGCAGGGACTATATTTTGCAGTAAATAATGTATCCCAGTATTTTCTAATCACTGAAGTACTTTCAGTCTGAAACTTTTATAATCAAGTTTTTTAAACTGTTCTAAACTAACATGCTTTTCAGTATGACTAACATATTTGTAGTCATTAAATCCACAAAATGATTCTCAGTTCTACGTTTACTTATTATAGACTCACCTGCTACCAGTCTGCTTGACAGCAGAAGCCACTTTGAGTATCCCATCAAGTACATAAAATTACCTGTAAAAAAAGATAAAAAGTAAATATGGAATCGACTTAAACAATTGTCATAAGATTTGAATAAAAACAAATATGTTTGGTTTCTTGTACAAAAGAAGTACCCAGTATAACTGGGGTTCAAACGTGAATCCTATTTGAAGGATTGCTGAGTGTTAGAAAATATGCAAGACCTGTGGACTCACCAACTATCTCAAAGATGTTGGCAAACAATATGATCTTCTTTGTTGATCGGGTTCTGTCGGACCAGTGGCCAAACAGTGGTCCAGACAGTAGGCCACTCAGACTGAATGCTGACAGGACCAATCCCAGAAAGTAAGGTGCTGCATCCAGAGTCTGCAAGAAACGCCATATTGTGGGCAAAATTACAGCTGTGGATAGAGAAGAGAGGGGAAATGTGTTTTTTATTTTACTATTAAGAAATCATACATATTCGATTCATCACAGTCTGACAAAAGATGGATACAGCACGCTGTTATTGCTTAGAGCTTTATTTATCACACAGGCAAAGGATAATGCTGACCAAATGTAATTCAAAATTCAATTACTGGGTCAGATGGCACACAATAAAGCACGCTCTCTGAGAATTCCAGAGAAAATTACTACTCAAATTTTTGTCGTTCAGGGATATGGCCCTGACAGACACAACTGTGTGTGGAAGTGACAAAACTAAAAGCTCCAAAACTGAATGTTTCTTTTTCATAAACTTTAGGAATTTATCATTTATTTGTATATTTATATATTGCTCATTAGGAAAGAGCAAAACCTCTGTATCTGTAGATAATTCAATAATCTCTCTTTTTCATTGACCTTGTCTATAAACAGCCTCTATAGAGCACCACAGTGGAGTCAAATAAACAAGATTTGATTGAAGTACAGACTTAATTTAGTTCAAGGTATTAAAAAAACCCACTGAATTAACTTTTTAACAATTACAGCCAATTTATGTACCTAATGTACCATTTTTAGATGCAAAAAGGTAAATAGAAACTGATTGACTGATAAGCAGTTTCACGGCCAGGTGAGGCCTGTACCCTCGTTACATCAGGACAAACTAAGCTGATAAAATAAAAATCTGGTTCATTCTTTAAAAGAATGAATGAATTGATTAGCTCAAAAAACACCAAAAAGGCCTGAAAGACCACAGAAGGGGAGGTAGGTCGGTGTTTGTTAAAGTCTACAATCAAGAGACACTTTCTGATTGTTAATACAAATACAAAGGTACAACAAACCAGTGGTTATGTTCAAAAACAAGAAGGTCAGATTAAATGTTTTCTGGTAAAGTCTAAAGGGGCCCACACATTTCTGAAAAAAATGTCTTCTAACTTGTAATAGAATCATGGGAAGAAAAAAGATGGAGAAGGAGAGAAAGAGCTCAAGGTCCAAAGCATATGACATTATCTGTAAATCATGGTGGAGGCAATATTATAGCATGTGGAACTAGGTCAGTCGTGCTTACTGATGATGTGACTGCTGATAGAAGTAGCAGTAGCACATTCAGCAAAATGTCACAAAACTGATTGGACAGCGGCTGACAGTGCAAATGGATAGTGAAACAAAGCATACTGCAATACCAAACCAAGAGCTTCTGAAGGGAAAGAAATGCCATATTCCTCAGTGGCCAAGTCAGTCATCTGATCTCACCCCAACAGAGCATGGTTGTACAAAACTGGAGGTAGAAAGATCCACAACAAGGCCTGTCAGAGCATCTTGAGGAAGGAAACACAGCGTTTTGTGATGTCTATGGTTTCTACACTCCAGGAAGCATTTTCATTCAAATATATGTATGATTATGTGATGTTAAAAATAATGTTTCTCTTCTCAATTAATCATTAGCCTTTGAAAACAGATGACTAAACATGGCTGTAATTCTTAAAAGGTTAATGAATTATTTTGGTAAAACCCTGGAATTAAAGTATGCACTTCAGTCACATCATGAATGTTTGATTTAAAATCCACTACAGTGGAGCAGAGACCAAAAACGTATTGACCTAATTGTGTAAAGCGATTTGCTTGATGCACAATGCTTTATAGCTGATACCTGGTTGGCTGGTCGGTTTTCCAGGCTCTTCACAACTACTCATCCGGTTAGTTAGCGGCATTCTTTGCTCACATTGGTGTAGTTGCTTTAATTATCTGTCCCAAATTTGAGAATTATTTACTCTACATGGCAGTTATTTCACATCAGCTATGCGTTAATTCACCCTTTTTGCAAGAGTTTAGTTAAGTTCATTGACTTTGATTTGTGGTTGCCACATTGCTCCTAACCTGTTCTTATGTATACACGTCTTAAAGGCGGACATTTTTAAACACATTTGGATTATGCAATGGTTTCACAAGGCACACCTGCATTCATGTCTGTTGTCAGTTGTTCTTTTGACTGTATTTTTAAAGTGACTGTGACCGAGTTGTGATAATGGCTTAAGCAATGTTTGCATAAAGACAGTGATGTCCAACCAGTTAAATTCAGTTTGATTTTTCTTTATATAGCACGAAATTTAAAAAACAAAACAGTCAACTCAATACACTTTATATTGCAGTAATAATACATAATGGAAAACCCTTAAAATCAGGTGACCCTGTATGAGCAAGCATAAAAACTTCCTTTTAACAAGAAGATTTCTCCAGAAGCATCAGCCTTAGGGAGGGGTGGCAAGGTGCCGAGGCCAGTTGGGGGTGAGGGGAAGAAGACGTGCAGTTGAATATACAGTGTCAAACTGTAGTGTAGATGACCCTATTTTACATTACTCACTCTTAAATAAACACAGGTGGGTTGTACTGGAAATCTGCACTCTTAGATCTAAAACATTAATTCAACTACAAGTAAAACCACTCATGTTAAAAGATGAACCAACTGTGTTTTAAGTACTGTTCAGTTTCCTGTGATCAAGCAAACCTAGCTAGTGTTTCCCTTGAAAATTTGAAGTCCAAGTGTAAAATAACTGCTTAAGATTTTAGGTTAACTTAACCTTGTAACTCTTTGGGAGTTTCCCAATATTGTTGCAAAGTAAAACAAAAATCTTTTCTACCTGAGATTTTCCTTTAATCACTAATTTCCTTGTTTGTTTTCACTGTCACGTGGGGTGCTATCAAGCGCTCCAATCATGCTGGACTGAGTCACTTATATACATTTGGGTCACAGGTCCTCCCACGCTTAGCCTGGTTGTACTCAATGGTTCTGTGCTATGGTCTTATCAGGTGAAACACAGTTATTATTTCCACAGGAACAGTTTTCTTACACATTTTGCTAAGTCCTGTGCTTTGTTGGAGATTGTTCAAGTAGTTCAATTTTTAGGAACTAACTCATCAATGGAGGCTGACACACGTTGATCTTACTCACAGATCAGCCAGGGGTTCTCTCATTACTGCGCACACAAGGGAACATAAATGTACTGTGATGCAATGATATCGCAATATTTTTACACCACATAAAGATTTACACTGGTATTATCGCCTTACCTTTGAGTTTGCCCAATTCTACCTCAATCTTGCATCTGTGGATGCTGAATTTCATATTTTCTGCTTTACACTCGTCACCGAATCATAAAATTGAAACAAACCTTAAATTTGTACTTAATTTCACTTCATTTAAAGATCACAATTATATTGCTTTAAGCCTGGATTTATAATCTATTCTTTTACAGTTTTCTGTGTGTGTCTTTATAACCGGTTACGCTTATGGTACTTATAATGCAGTGTGTAACACAGAACAGATTTTTTTGTTTGTTAAATGCCAATGCGGTAAATAAACACAATGTAACATATTATCTCCACATATATTCTATGCAATACATATACATCTTATATATTGGGATACTTATAAACATTTATGTTATCACAAATGCGCTTTAAATGCACTGTAGAGATGACCTTCATTGAAAATGATTATGTGAAATGAATTATTTCCGATGTTTTTTCTTTTTAAAGTTCATTATATTTGCATATTGTTAAATAGACTGTAGTAAACATGATATGAAGGGGATATGGATATATATAAAATAAAGAAATGACCTATTTTTAAAAATCTTTTTACTCTTTATACTCATGCGTCATTGCACCGGTGTTGTGCCACAGCGTTATAATTAAAACACTCCATTTTGTCCACTTAAAATATCTTTATAGAACAGTTTTGTTGTACTTGTTACAATTTCTTTGTCATTGTCATCTACCCATGTTTACCCCAATAACAAGTCTTACCATATTCCACGCCGCTGAGAAGAAAAATAAGTCCGATGGTGATATATGTCAGCTTCTTTTCCCGTCTGCTATCCATTACGCCTCACTGCTGAATTCTTCTCTCTGTAAGACTTTAAACATACATGTCCCTTCTCGTCTCCCTACCAAACACAGCCGACATAATCCCGAGAGCAGTGCTTCCAATTACAGAAAACAGCTGCAGAATGCTTCAAGAGCACACTGTTCCCACTACCTGAACAGCGTTTGCAAGGCTAATATCACTTATCACTACGCGTTATCTCATATCGTATGGAAAACTCGTGTTTTCGTGGTGAAAACACGAGTCCAGTCCATGCATATATAAAATGTCTGTAATTAAACCAGCCGGGTAAATGCTCCGCAATGATTGATGCTAGCCGTAGCTTACTAAACACTCGCCCTCAAACTGCCAAAAGCGAGGCAGAGGGGAAACAACCAATCACAGCAGCGCGCAGTTTAAAGCCATCCTACACAACTTCCGGTTGCCCGCACATTGACAGTCGCAACCGCTGAAACTTCAACTGCTTTCATAGATTGAATAATATACGCACACATTAGAGTATAAGGTTTTTTTCTTCTTCTTCTTTCTGTTGTAAGACCATTTAACAAAATACACGATGGTAGTGCTGTGCGATACTGCAAATTTTGGTATCGATCTCATACAAAGAACTGCACTTCTTGCTTATACGTGCTTTATTAGACAAGCATCACTATTGCAAAAAATAAAACCTTTTGAACCCCTTGGACTGAATCTGGATATTCGCTAATGAGTGTGGATTCAATCATGCTGATTAATGCAGTTTAGGAGTAGGAGAGAGCATAGGCAGGGTGAAGTGGGTGGAGATGAGTGTCAGGGGTGATTTGTGACAGGAGGTTAGCAGCAAGGGTGAAAAAGAACGTTTATAAGACGAGAGTGAGACCTGCTATGATGTATAATTTGGACAGTAAGACTAAACTAAAAACCCTAAACCTGGAGCTGGAAATGCTAAAATTTTCATAGAAAGTGGACAAGCTAGAAAATGAGTGTATCAGAGGGAGAGCTCACGTCAAGTGTTTTGGAGATAAAGTTGGAGAGACAAGGGATGATGATGAGGAATAGTGGATTTGTTGGACAAAGGATGTTGAAAATGGAGATACCAAGCAGGAGGAAAAGCGGAAGACCTCAGAGAAGTTACATCGTTCCTTTATTGCATCACTAAACTCTAGTCTGAGTCAGACAAAAATGTTCCCCATCTTGTGACTTCCATTAGAAGAAAAACCCACTTTCCATACAAAAAGCTGCCTGTGTACACTTGATTAAATTTTCTGTCTCTCGTGTGTTCACATTTTAGTTTGTTGGCATGTAGAACATTTCCCATCACACTGTGAAGTCCCACACATGAGGTAGGATTACCTCATGTGTGTTGCTAAATCTTCCTTTTAGGGAGAGATTTAATCCTTGGGCATTAATCATGTGTGTTGCTGCTTTTACACATACTTAAGGTTTTGCTTGTGGTTGTGGATCCCTTGTTGCCTCATGTGCAGAGTCAGAATGACATCAGCTAACATGCATTGTTGCGGTTGTGAGTAGGCTGAGGATAAATGGCCCATTTGGGGTCTGCAGGAGGAATAAATGGAGCCAAAAACTGCAAACAGATTTATTGGAACTGTAATTACAAACCTGTAAGTTCACCGTTCTGAACTACTTTATTCAATTAGCACTGTTTCTTTATAGAACCATCTTCCATCCTAATTATAGCAGCACACATGATGCCTGTGTAATAATGTTAGACTCACCCTTCTTGCAGAGTACAAGGATAATTAAATGTTTGTTTGAGAGCAGTTGCTAAGATATAAGGAAGAATAAACATGCCAACGTGTATAAAAGAAGTCTTTATTTACAGTTTGTCTGCAGGTGGAGTCGGTAGCAGTTCTTATGTGCCACAGTGTTTAGTCTTTAGTCCATCCTGATGGAGGAATGAGAATCAACAAAATAAAAAAGTTTCCGACAGCCTCCTTGTAGATGCTCCATATAATTTTAAGGTTGACTGGTGAACCATGGGTGGGTGACCACAGGTTTGTTTTAGAAGGCCAGCTTCTTCATGAGCAGGTAGACCCTGGAGTCCACTTCAAAGCCGTGAAGATTGTTGGCATCTCCCTGTAGCCTCATGAGGAGGCCTCCATAAGACACATAAGCAGAGCTGAAACAAGAAAAACACACAAGAAATTGGAATAGCACAAACCAACGGCAGAGTCTGGAAAAGTTATCACACAGGCAGATTCAAATGTGATCTCATTTCCATAAATAGTTTCACAGAAAGGTCATCTTCTCTGTTAGAAACACAGTTTTGTTTCAGCGGATTATTAATTTCAGTAAATATATGACATATAGTCATTTTGAGAAAACTGAGCACTTCACTTACAGACGTGTGGCAGCTTCTGTTGAAGTTTCATCGCCCTCAATCTTGTAAACTTTCCCATACATCACATAATCAAACTGGTCTGCTCTGGAAATTTAAACAAAGTGGAATGAGTGTGAAAGTCATTTTGTAAATTAAAAGCGTAAGAAGTATTAACAATGTTATTATTGTTACATATGCCAATAAAACAGCAATTTTTTTTTTGCTAAAGTTCCACAAATTACAACTTTAAATTGGAAGCAGCTGTCTTACCTAGACGGTCTGTCATCCTGAGGATTGTACTCTCCATCGTCTGGTGTTCCATCTTCATATAACGTGCTGGCAATTACCAGTCTAAACTTGTCACCTTAATGAAAGAGATATATTACAACAAACTAGCTTTATCATATTGTGCATTTGGACACTTTGGGTTACAGATGCAATTCTGACACATGGTTCTTCAAGGCTTTTTACTCATAGAGCTGGGTTCCTTTGGGTTGAGTTCACCTGCATGTGAACAAGTCAAATATTGAGGGAGTCAGGGGATACATTAACGAGCAATCATATTTTTTTATGTATTACAGTATAATCTTTACTTTTGAAGAGTGCCAGTTTATTCTGATAAAATATTCTAAATAGCTGACATAGTCATTTGCTATAATTATGCTGTATATAGGACCGGTTTACACCATTGTATTTGATACATATTAACTAACAAATGACTTCCAATTTAAAACAAAACAAAACAAAAACACAAAGACACACAGGGACAAAAAAGAATGTTTTTTCTTACCAAGATCAACAGGATAGATCTGAATGTTCACATCCAAGATGAGGTCCATCTTGAACGATTCACTTTCACAATGCAGACGAGATACTGCAGATTAACAGTTGAAGAGTTTCTATTAGATAATTTATTGTTTGTTTGTTTTTTTAATTAAATGGTGTTAACGAAGATCAACAATAATTAAAATAATGACTCTTGTTGATAATCAAAGTTAGACTGGTTCATGATTGGCCAGAAGTTGTGTGTTTGGATACTTGAAAGGTTTAATACTTAATATCAGATCCCTTTCACTAAGAAGAACTGCACTTGGGTTATAAATTAAACTTTATCTATATCGAGATCAAATTAGAGATCAAACAAGCAATTATCTCTTGGTTGGTGTTATAATTTCACTTTTTTTAATGATAATATTTCACACACCTCTGTCAAACTTCTTGCCATCTGGATCGATATCTTTTACATCAAAAATATCCTCAAAAAGAATTCCAGCCATCTCTCTCCGAGTCTGTCAGTCTGTAAAAATAAGGGAAAATAAAGACAAAAACACAAAATGAAGCCACTTTTATTAGACTGAAACCATTACTGAAACTTAAAACACACCCTGCCAGTACAAGAAACACACTTCACTGAAATTCACAGAAACTTGTGTTTGCTTGTCTTATTGTTTCCCTCCGTCTAGTTTGTGCACAACTGCAGCTGAAAAATCTTAACCACTAATCATACATTAATGAAACAACTGTGTATCACAACGTAAAAAAAAAACTTCAAACCTTAATAATTCGTGCATTTGTTTTTGACCATTTAACAGTAATCTAACACCCGTTGTTGCCGAATCAGTTAGCGAAAGTATTAAGGTCTTGGCAAAGCTTTTTCAACTTTAGCATCTCTCATTCATGCTAATTGCTAGCCTTAGCATATTGGCCAAACGATTCCAAAAACTTACCTCAAGTTTTGATATTATACTGTAAGTTCAATGGCGTCGCGCTCACTTGGGTTTTCACTCTGCGACGGGGAGTATTTAATTTTGCGCTAGATGTCTTAGTTAGTCAAAATTTCATTCATTATTATCCCAAACAGACTGTACCGCGCAGGAACAATGTGCTCAACCTTTGACATAGAAAGTGCTTCCGGTTTGAAATACGGAAAGAAAGAATATAAACGTAAATATATAACGAAATTAGATAAAGACAGACGAATTTTTTCAGCCACAGACAAAAAAAACGTATAATAAAAAAAAAAACTGCCTATCTGCTCTTTCTCTACGTTAATATTCGAAACAAATATATAGGTTTTCCAGCTAGTTTAAAAAATAAATGGTCTCATGAGATACCTTATTGTTGTTATAAAGTTAAAAAGAGCAAAAGAAAATCACAATAATCTGCAAAGAATACGTAAGAACCAAATAGCATCCTTTCGGCAATGTTTACGACATTTGCCTCTACTTTCCAGTCTATTCGGTTGCTAGGTGTTTTTTAGCGTCCTGTCTGTGTACTGTTGCTAGCTAATGGCTATCTAACTAATATAAGTTGCAACTGAAGACCACAAATCCTCACAAAAATGGACGGTTCTACGCGTGAGCGCCTCGGAAGTGTCAATGAAATGTATTCACCAAGTACCTGATATACGAACGAGGTAATGATGTTAATGCGCTCTCTTTATGTCGCATAACGTTAATTGATGAGTTAGCTTATTAGCTAGCTTGTGACATCTTGACGCTGTCTCTGATGTCTTACTGTGATGAAAATAATTCACTTTTAAGGCAAATGTGCTTGAATTTTAGATTATAAAGTAAAATCGCCATCAGTTGTATCTTTGTTGATGTTTTTCTCTTTCTGTGTGTGTGTGTGTGTGTGTGTTAGTTGCTCAAACCATTGTGCTGTCCAATTCAAACAGACCGCAAAATACTAACTCGGAGCGAAAACGTTATTGAATGAAAGTGGGACTCTTTGCTGCCGGATATTTTAAAGCTTTTCGGTACTCACATGAGTTCCAAGGAGGCAGCCAATATGGGGGACATCTCGGCAAATGAAACCGATCTTCTTGGGATGATTAAGGAGGTAGCACGTTTCTTCTGTAAACTGCCATATGCAAATCGCAGTGAGCATTAATAGAAATGAAGTAATCGCAATGCACAACTTTCATATATAGCGTTTCTACAATAAATTATGCATAGATGATTGAAAGCATACTTACATTCTGCTCTGATTGAGGTGGTATGTCACGTGTGTTTATTTGTATTTTTTTGTTCGTTTCTTTGTAGTACCTCAAATTTGA